GGTCATGATAAAATGCGGCGAAGGTGGCGCCATCTATAGACATCTTATCCGTACGCAACAGAATTTGATAATATATATACCGTTGGAGAGAGGAAGTCTTACTCTACAAACCTACATACATCCCATTTTTTAGTCAAAAATTGACGTGCAAGTTATAGTCGCCTTTGTATGTTAGCGTCAGTAAAAAGATTTTCAAGATTGTCTTTTTTTACTACGGAGAATTGAAGACGGAACGAAAGAAAGTCAGTCCCATCATGAATTATTTTTGTGAGCAACAATGTATATTCATCTGAGAAAAGTCTAAAAACTGGACTAACCTTTTTTGATTCTAGTTTATTATCTTCTAGAACTTGCTTTACTCCCTCTAATGAATTCCATTCAAACGCTAGTTTTAGTAAGGTTTGTATCTCTTTTTTTGGAACTTCCTGCTTTGAATACTCATCTTCAAGATTGCTTCGATGTTGGCCAACCACCGTTTTGTAGCCTTGATATCATTAATCCCATTTCATTTACTCATTTCTCATACAAATTTAACTTACCTTTGAAAATAGCATTGAATATTGTTTCGGTAACATTAATATCCTTGTCTAACGAATAAACATTCAAAAAGTGACGATATTTCAATTTCATAATATTGATTATTCTGTTAGCCCAAAAGCCGTATTCATTGTGTTCGGATGAAATGCTTGAGTTAGTCTTGTCATTTTGAAAGATTCTTTTTAGTCGGTCAAGGATTTCATTTTCTTTCGGCTCACTAAAACTTTAAGCATGTTCTTGTGAAAATTATAAAAAGTGTTCTCTTACTCATCCGGATGTTTCTTCAGCAACTCGCTTAATACGTCAGCCATTCTACCGCTACCCTGAGGCAATATAAAACAAAAAATAAAACATTGAAGTTAATATTATACTATCTCTTTCTCACTTTTATAATCACAATAGGACGTTTGTTATTCAAATCATTCTGTATCACTTCCAATGTGTTTTCGCCCCCTTCAACAATAACTGTTACCGCATAGCCTAAAGCCAATACACAAGGTCAGAGAAAGATTGCCTTATTATATTATTGTGTTCTCACAACGTTTTTCAATTTCGACTGCGTATTTTACGAAACTATTACGCAGCTCATCGCTTATATAATCAGATAATTTACCATCATCAAACAAAAGCATATATGTATGATGTAGTTCTATTGTTTTATCGTCATTTGTTTCCAATATTTTTCGAGGAAATTTATAGAGTTCTCCATTTGTATCGTCGTTTTTGCTTTCTCTCTGAGCGATGAACTAAAAGAGAACATAAATCTTATATTATAGATCTTTTCTTAATTGAATATTGTACTTTTTTCAACAACAGTTCTCTGGATGTTTCAGCTAGACTTCCCCATTTTGTGAAACCAATACTGGCTACGTCTTTCAGATCTAAGAAGCAAGTATTTGTAGTTGTATTTTTGTAGTTTTTCGAGTAAAAAGTAAAAGTACAGGTATTCATAGATATACCTGGTATTTGTAGTTGTACTTTTATGTACGAAAAAAGAGGTATATTATAATTTATTTAAGAAAAATGTTCTTTTTTGTAATCCAAGTGTGTTTTAGTTTTGTTGAAATTTTAATAGTTGCTCTTAATGCTGGAGCTGTGTTCATAATTTTCACTTTCTTGTAACATTTTAATGCACAATTGATGCATGTCCTGTTTCTAAATTTAAAGCTGCACCTTATACTATGTTTCCTTGATTCTTATCAACCTCTTATCTTCAGTTATTTTAGTTCTTTAACTTTAAAGCATATCTAAGAACAAGAATGCATAATAGAGTATTTGTTTAAGGGAATATAATTTTATAAAAAACAAGATCATTCGAAAACCTATTAATCAAAAGAGCTAGTGATAAAAAAAGTTCTAAGAAAAAGAAATAGATAAAATTAAGGGGGAGTGTTTAAACTACTTCTTAAATCGAGCTTCGATTCACATGTGAAATAAAAATCTGCCATGTAATCAGCAACATTTGACAAAATTTATCCCTCTATAAAGATTATTGCACGTACATTATGTTTGATTTCAATCTTACAATTAGAAACACATATTAGTAACAAAGATCATACACGACTAAATGTAAAAAAATCTATATATTGAAATAATCAAATGTAACTATCAGTTAAATATTTTGATTTAATTTAAGAAATAAGATAATGACTTTATTTCAAAAAGCTGAGCATTTATATCGGGAAAGAAATTGACAAGCTTCGGCCTTTTTTGTTTTCAACAGAAATATAAGAAAAGCGGAGATAACCAAAAGATTTAGACTGAGATAAGTATATCACTTCCCAGGTCGAACAATCCGACACGGAAACGGCCAGTTCCACGGTATTCCGGAGACTTCACGGAAGTAGTATTTCGGTGAACGATTCGATGGCCGGATTTATCGGGTTCGCCCCCGAAGCCGATGGAAACCTGACAAAACCGGCAGCCGGATACGGTCGTCGGATTCCTGTCTCGAATTCCAGGCATCTTCCTACGGATTCCGGGCTGAAACGGCAAGTTTCCCGAGGATTTTCGCCGAAAATTCAAGGAATACTGCTTCACGAATCATCGTCCTGGATTGCATCGAGAACATATTTTGAACAGTTTACCACATGAAAAGAAGAGCAAAGGAAGAGAAAAAAAAGGAAAGAATATGACTAGTGAAAACATATGCTCAAGGTACAATAGAATCCTACTATACATTAGACTTTCACAAAAGCCTAGGTTATATTCGAAAAATCTTTCATTAACAGTTCGTATTTGAACCCTTAACCTTTGATGAATTTATCAGTATATTAAAGTAAAAATTTTCTTTAAAATACGTTGATAAACATTTATCGAGTAATCAGGAAATATCATGGTAGATTTTAGAACCTTATCAGAGTGATTCAGTTGTGTTCACGCAATGTATTCTATTTGTATCTATAGTGGAAGTACAAAGTACCCCTTTTTTGTATTTAAATACAAGTATAATACTTTTACTTGTAGAACTTGTACTTTTCCTACCTCGGACGTCTTTTGAACGGCGATTTAATATTTTTTCGTGTAATATCGCTTCTCCAACCAGTTTGGCGACACCACTGTTTAAGCCAGCAGTCACTATCCATCCACCTTAAGAAAAGAAGAAAGTTATTCTGCCAATTAAACAACAGTTACGATCAAGTCCCCTACGTGTAGGCTCGTAATCTTTCGTTTTTATTTTCATAGTTTGGTCGTAATCCTTTCCTTTATTCTAATACTAAGGTTGTTTCTTTATTCTTCCAATAGATGTACAGAGCAGTAGACCTATCAATCTCTTATTTTTTTCGTTCATAATTATGCTAGTAGTAGTGTTCAACTCCTGTTAGATCACTAAAATCGTGCTTAACTTCGAAAACGGATGAAGCTATGTG